TGATCCACCGTCATTTTTTAATGAGCTTTAAATGTACTATTATGACTTTTTTATGCGATTTATTTTGTAAAGCGCATTGAGAGTTTTCTTTTGATGTAATGCGCTATATAAGAATGCATTATTACATCAGTATTATTATTTTGGACTGCTTCTTTGCCGGCACCATCGTACAAAATGATCGAATTTCGTTATGTTATTATTCCGTAACTAGAGGTGGGTGTATGTTTTTTCATCTGATATCTCAATCAAACTTGAATAGCATTTGATTTCCTAGGGGAAAAAAGCAATTCAATCAAACCTCTTTTTCGGTGAAACTCAACAATGGTACGGGGAGAACAACTTCAACACATTATGCTTCAAGGAGTATACTTTTTTATTTAAATATTTCTTGAGAACTCTGATAAGAACTATTGATCATCCTTCAGAAACATCGATGCATCTCCCAGCCAGACTTGCTCTTTAAGTGGGAAAGGCTCCCCCATTTATAAATACATGCACCACAGCAACAAAAAAAAGGAGATCAACATTATTAGCCCACGGTAGCCGGGCCTTTTGTTGGGCAATTCAGGCGGAGAATGGAAGGGTGTAGAATGCTCATTCGCCGGGGTGTCGTGGAGGGATTAGCCCGCTATTGTCATCCTAAAGCGGCGTGTCATCTTTTCCCCTTTTTTCTCATTCAGGATTTCAGATCACAGCGAGCGATGAACTCCGCATGTGGGCGAGCCTGTGACGTAACAGCTCAAAGATGGAGGTTGCTCTGCAAGTCGCATTGTGGTGTCGTACAACACCGTTAAACGCGCACCAAACTTGGAACCACGACCTTTTTCACCATCTGTTCGACAAAAAAAAACAATCAGCTCCGAACAATATAAACAAGACATCATCATCAGTCTCCTCATGATGACGAGCAGAGCACACTGTTCGAAACGTCGAGTTAAACCAACTGTTCTTCTCGATCAGAACCACACAAGTCACTAAGCGATATCATTCATATGGTGTTACCGCAAACCTCCCATTCATTGATCATGTCCAGCATGCAAACTCTTTAGTCTTATTTAACATAATTATTATCATTGAACAATTTTAGTCAATTTCGTTTTGGCGTTTACCATTTTTTTGCACGGGAAAATGGAGTGGCCACACTGAAAAATTGCCTGGGTTAATTTTACCCAAGAAAGGGTGAAAACTGGAACTACCCAAACTTGGGTTGTTCTATAACCAATTGTTTGGGTTTGAACAACCAAAACCTGTGGTAATTCAAGACCAAATTTAATTCTGTCTTGTAGTTTTGGTTGAATTTAGCAGAAATTCTAACCCAAACAATTGGTTACAGAACAACCCAAAGTTTGGGTAGTTCCAGTTTTCACCCTTTCTTGGGTAAAATTAACCCGGGCAATTTTTCAGTGCATAGCATCGATGGTCGTGCTGATAAATTAGTCATGCAAGTAAATACTCCTTAGTTTGTCAATCGGCGCAAACAAAAATAGAAGACTGATCGTCCTTTCCGTTTGCAAATAACATTCTGCATGTCAACATTCGAATTCGCAAAACACTTCATTCTTCACACTGTACTATAGTCGTTGATTACATTGGATAATCTTTCAATTTGCATGACTGACAATAACATGATCAACGAGTTATTTGAATCAATGCTCACTTGATTATGAATGAGTACTTGAATTTGACATTTGAAAAAAAAAGTCAAGGTTAACAATAAAAATCCGTGACTCCGTTTTACGAGTAAGCCACCAAAACAAATTCCGTTTAATCGGAATTGACCAAACAATCACGACACCGGTGTGTAAAATTAAAATACTTCAGTCAACTCAATTACTCGGAACTATTTGGAAAACAACTTGAACAACAAGAAAAATGGCCCACAAGACTTCATTACCACTTGACGGTTAAAATTCTGGGAAAAACTTCGATAAAGTGAGAATAAAAACCAAATAACCACATCTAAGGAATTTCCAGCCGTCAAGAATACCACAAAATTCCTGAGTGTTATAGTCCACGGTCCTGTAGGATTAAGCACGCACTCGAAGAACCTCAAAAAAAATTAAAACACTTTCACCTTTTTATTAAAAAAAATACCTTCACGCCTCCTTGCTTTGTAATTAAATCTCATAATTCTTGACCTTTTTTCCTCTGTGAATGGTTTTTAGTGGATAACGATACTGGAAAACAAGCTATACAAAGGCTTCAGGGCGGATGTGAAGCACGCTACTTGGAACCAACAATGTTGGTTTGCAAAATCAAGGATATTCAATTATAATTGGAAAGTTAAGGCCAGAAATATTGAATTTTGAATCCTGGAGAATTTTTTTTTAAATAGCATATAAACTGTATGTTTGTAACTAATTTAAAAACACAATAATAAACCCAATAAGCTCAATTTGTAAAACACAAACGATGTACACAACAAAACATCAATAAAACAACCAACACACAACAGCAACAAACGAATAATAAGATCAGCAACAACATCATGTTTCCTGAACAGTATCATCTTCATTTTCGATGCAGTCAACAAAAGAACACATCAACAACAACAGCTATAATAAACAAACAAACAAACAAATAAACACACAACTGCAGCAATAGAAAACAACAACATGTACATTATCATGAACAACGAAAGAGACTCTTTTTTCAATTTTCAAGTTGAAACTTTACTTCAAACAAAAGGGAAACTCAAATGTAAATATGACAAAAGAATATTCAAAGACAACAACAACAACAACAACAACAACAGCAACACCGACACAGAATAAGAAGCAAATGCATCTATACAAATCGTCGTTAAACAATAAAACGCGATCAAGTTACTTTCACTGATATAAACTTCTGCAGTGTATCGTGCACATGTTTATAAGTCACTGCAAATTGAATCGCGTTGTTTTTTCGTTCTCTTTTTATCCCATAGCCCACAAACAAATGACATTTTGGCATTATCAAGGTATTGAAGAAGACATCATCAATGCAAGCACTCATCGATCGATCGTTATTTCGGCCAAGAACGGTGTAAATTCGTTGGCGGCCCGAGCGCGAAGCCCGAGCTAAATTCTTCGAGTGGTTTGTTGAAGTAGGCCTACATGCCACTATCTCATCAACTTGTTTGCACATCTACCGCCCTGACAAACACACCAAGTACCTTTTCGCTTGCTTCAATAACAAACTCGACAGTCATTTCACGGCGGACTATTGATTTTTCCCCCTTTTTTTCTTCCGTGCCTGCTCCTATAGGAAGTTCTTGATATCAAAGAAGATACCACAAAAAACCCACATACTATAGTTCCTTGGCAGATATCTAGAGGCACGTGAAGTTTAGGGGGACAATGATCCAAGTGATGGAGAGATTTTATGTGGGTTATCGCGAGTCGAAGGGTGTTTTGAGCACTTCGACATTTTAGTGCTCGAACCATCAGAACCCCTCAAGTCAGTTTGAATATGTTTAATTTAAGAAAAGCACTCAAGTGACTATACTGCTTGTGGCATTACATTTTTGGGTATCTTTCCGTGATGTCTCGACCGGTTGCATGCGACGTTTGAGGGCAAAATAAAGGACACATCTGCTGTTCTTTCACGAGAATGTTCGAATTGTGAGGAAAAGATGATATCGTCGTTGTGTGAAGAATGAAGAACAACCTGACTTGTGCTTTCAAATCTACAAGGCTTTCTTTATCATTTAAGGAAACAGTTTGAAAGGTTTTTGTGGTATGATCGAGATCGAATCTGAAGAATGTGTCACTTGTTCTTCTGAATGGTTCACAGCATAACCCTGCAAGGCTGATTTCGTAGGTGGAAACAAAATGCGGGTTAAGTCTTCGTTTGTTTAGATAGAGCCTACATGAATCAGAATGATCTCTTATTCTATTTCAAAACAAAAACATGTCAAAAACCATTGGGGGGGAACTAAAAACCTAAAATGTGATGTGTTTATTTTGAAGTAGAAATAAGTTTTTTTGTTATTGTTGTTGGGAAACCCTTTTAATTAGTGATTTAGTTCGATTTTATGCAATCCTCAGGCTGTATGAATTTCTCAGTGTTGTTTTATTGTATGCCTGAAATAAATAAATAAATAAAATAACTAAATAAATAAACAACGGGAATGAAAAACAAATCAACTATACTCAATCTTTTTCCAATTAAAAATACCTCGATGAAAAATAAGAGAATTACAGACTCACCTTCCAGCGGGTACAGCGCACCACCGCTCCGCCGTCCATGTCGTGCCACAGCCCCCGCTAATTCGCCCTGACATCTAGCCAGCTAATTAGTGCTCGCGCAATCGAATCGGGACAGTTAGGCTTATTATAAATTTGCAAATGGAGGTTGGGGAACAAAAGACAAAACAAAGAAAGACAACAGCCGCTTGTTATGTTTGGAACGATAGAAGGATTATCTCTGCTAATGATCTAACGTTGGTGTTTGAGTAAATCGGCAATTAATGCTATAAATGTGGCACGACGCATCTGACTTTATAGTCTACCTCCATGTGCTAGCGGTAATATTGGTGTTACAATGACGTTTCACGGAGTTGAAGAAATTTGATAAATCATGAACGTTCAACGATTCGCACTTGGTCAATACAATTTTGTTTAGATTAAAAACATATTAGGATCATATAGTCTTTGTAGTTGCAAACATCTGAAGGTATACAATACATGTACAGTCGAACACCTTTATAACAAGGTCCTTGGGACTTTACAAATTACCTCGTTATAACAGGTAGGCCTACCTTGTATTAACAGTTATGGAAAACAAAGAAAACAAGCACTTGGGACCTTACATTGTCCTTGTTATAAGCAGGATGTTGCATTAACAGTGCTCTTCTCATCAGGGTTCGACTGTACATGCAATACCCTTTCGATCGTGCACACATATACGAAATTCAAATTCAGCACTTACAGTTGAAGAAATGCTTCAGATCAGTTTGTTATTGTTGAAAAAGAGGAATGTTAAGAAGCAGTGATTTCACGCAAGACTTCAATTGTTCATTTTTTCAGTTTGCGTAATTTATTTGTCAATACCATGCATGCACTCGTACACTTTATAATGTACCACAGACTAGGTCGTCCTCTGAAATATGTCTTATTTAACACTATCATACAGAACATTGACGATGTAAGTTTAACTTCAAAATTTCAGATAATTATATAGCCGGGTGAAGCTTACACCACTCATTAATAATACAACACTTGAACAACATATACTTAAGCACATGTACTGTCAAATAACCATACAATTTGTAGCCACTGGCCTGAGTCAATTTTGGGGGGAATTCTTATCGAAAAACTTTTTATAATCCAACGCGTGAATCTTATGACGTGATAATCTGAGAATTGGATTTTAAAAAAATCTTGATTTGCAAATTTTTGCTGAAGGCTGAGCCACGAGATGAAGTAAAGACAAATAAAGAATCAAATCTAAAGATGGATCAATGACAATGGATTCTACTCCATCATGTTTTGGTACTGATAAAAAAACACGATTTAAACCCTCTAGATTTAAACATAATACTTCTAAATTATCGTACTTTTTCCCTAAAACTTGGCATCTCGGAAGGGCAAATCGTCAATAAAAGCATATAGTGGAGATTCCAATTTCGGCAGTGCGCCTGAAATGCAATCTATCAGTGAAACAGATTTTGATTTAAAGTGCCTTATTTGTTACGATATCCTTGGAATAATCCATTTATATATCTTCGTGCTGGGTTTGCAACTGTGCCGAATAAGTATGCTAGCCGTACGGCACATGTGCGAATGCACAAACCGCACATTCTCAGCTACAGATACACATCCAGCACGGGTGCAAACTCAGAACGCGACTACGGCTCGTTAATATAATTTTGGACCGAGAAGAGTGACGTACAATGAAAACAGCCCAAAAAAAAATCATATTAATATGAGGTTGACGTTTTAAGCCGGAGAAGTCGCCCTGGGCCGGTCCGACACAACGGACGCGCGGGCGGGGAAAACTCAAGGACGCACGGTAGGCTGTTTTCACAGATCACGCTGCGGGCCAGTCCTCGTAAAAGCGAGTAAAGCATTAGTGTGCGAGATGTGTGGGGGACTGATGACATTAGAAAAATAACCTCCGTCGCAAATAAATACAATTATAATGGTAATGGCATACTTCATGTGCCACTGTAGCGTTGGCGAGAGAACACATTGTTTAGAATACCAAGATTATTAAACTTTGGTATGGGTAAGTTTTTATAGAATGTTACCGGTACATGTAAAAAATGGAAATACATGTCACATACACTTAAACTTTTATTAATACAGCAGAAAAAAACAAAATGTGTTCATATCAAATTAAACCTTGCAACTGATAATACAGGTTCGTAGAAAGGCATTTTTGTTCTTACTGCACGATATTTACTTTTCGTGTAACTCAAGCATGAAAAATTCACACTTTCATGATGACATATCTTCACTGATCCACAATTAAATCAGTTGGAAATGTCAAAATTTAAACATGTATTTCTTGTTTTGATTTGAAATGATAAACTTGTGTACTGCGTACCCCTCCCGTTTTTGTTCGGCCTCAGGCGAGCAGTTGACATCTCTTTCAATAAACCATCAGTTTGTATAACACTGGTCACAAAAGACTTGGGACACGAATTGTGCATGCATTATCGCGAGGTTAACGCCACGCACAATACATAACGGAAGCCGGACTTAAAGTTTTTTTGTACACAAATTTGGCGCAATATCAGCCAACCGTGGTGTAATTCGTCAAATGTAAAATCATCCCTGCCGGGTTACAGTTTCTTAAAGCCTACAAGCCACAAAGTTCCTAAAAAATATAATGTCAGCAATAAACTATAGAGTTTTCACCGGTTGTGCACTGGCCAGTAAAATTGATTTTAAGCCATATTTTAATCTTTTGGTGCATTACAATACAAATCGACTCACTGGATAACTTAAGACAAGTCTGAGCTACTTCGTGAAATCTTCAAATCGATTACTTTTTGCCTATATCGTGTTAGATTCGTTCGCACAAAAACATGCAGTGGTGTATAAAGTCAAAGTTAATTGTTTGGCTGGTGAGTTTAAGTGACAATGGTTACAGTGTTGTGACGAGATCAGTTTAACAAGTCAGAATCAAATCAGTCATTTATACCATTTCGAGATGGGATGAAATTAAAAGGGAATTCGTTTTTTTTTTTTTTAAATATGACAACTTTAATCCACAGCCGGCGGTTGAGTGTTTGGAATGATTGCATGTCAACGCGGTGGGTCGATGCTGCCTGATGTACGGCACTTCGTTCATCTGGGTTTTCTGAAGGGGCGCCGCAGGAGTTAGGTTACATCCCGTTTACTACCCCCAATCGAAATGTCTGAGCACTGGACCCGGATCCCGTTTCAAACGAAATTATGCCCAATGGAATTTACACTTCGTATTTACTTTTGGGTAATACTAGAATTGAAATCTCGAGCAGGCAAGGTTTGGAATTGAGTACATTTCAATTTTGTTCCGTTACTTGGAAAGCGATTGAAACTAACGGAATAGTGCATTAGCCTGGATGTCACTTGTTTATTTTTTTTTAACGGAACTGGAATTTAAGCAAATGGTAGAAAACATGTTGTTATACGACAATCATTGATACGATGATACAAGGGCATGTGGCTACTGGAATTAATACAAAAATAACAACATTTTGTCTAACGTCAGATTTTTAACAACACTGTTTCCTCTAGTGCCTTTTTTTTTATAAATAAACAATACACAATCTCATGGGTAACGACAAAGTCGTGAAAATTACAGATTTACGCTAATGTACATGATTTAACGAAAAAAAGCAAGTGTGCGGCTGAATTTGGCAGTTTTTGTCTTCTGAACAGTCAAGTGCGAGTTCTTTGTGAATGTGCTGAATCAAAGAACGCAGTGTTCTCCGATTAAATCCGCGGGGAGCGCGGACGTACCTTTAGCGTAGCTGACGGGGCTGGGTGACTCGCTGGACGTGTCAGAACACGGGGAAGGCAGGGACGTCACGCTGTTCTCGTGAAGTTTCCGGACGTGCTTCTTGAGATCGAAGTTGCGGCAGAATCCCTTACCGCAGACGCTGCAGGTGAAGGGCTTCTTCTCCTGGTGAGTGTGCATGTGGAAAGTCAGATTGTAGACCTGATGGAAAGCTTTGTGGCAAATGTGACACTTGTAGGCCTTTTCTCCGCTGTGGGTTAGCCGATGGTTCTTGTAGTTGCCCTTCTGGTGGAACCCTTTACCGCAAAACTCACAGATGAAGGGCTTGAAGTTGGCGTGGATCCTCATGTGGGTGTTGAGCGTGGAGCTCCGGTTGAACGCTTTGCCGCACTCCCGGCATTTGTGCGGCTTTTCGTTGGTGTGGATGATCTTGTGCCGGCACAGCGTGCTGGCCTGCCGGAATCCCTTGCCGCAGATTTTGCAGATGAACGGCCGTGCGCCGGTGTGCACCGGCATGTGTCGCGTCAGGTTGTAGTGGGCGTTGAACACCTTACCGCAGTCCAGACAGGTGAAGGCTTTCTGCTGCCCGTTCTGGGCTCGCTTGGTCCTCTGCTGCGTGTTCGATGGGGAGGTTTTCTCCGACTTGACTTCGACCGGGCGCGGTGACGAGGCGGTGCCGGGGTTACGGGGAAACTTGGGGGCATAGCTGTCGATCCTCGTACGCGCAGTCGCTGGGTCTGCTGTCCACATCCGCTCGGCCAGGCTGGAAATTGGGCTTTCAAAGTCTGCCGTGGTCTTGAAAGCCGACGGCGAGAACAACCCGGCGAAGGGAAGGGAAGCGTGGGCCGTCAAACCCAGCCTCGCATCAGGAAGGGATTTGACCGGGAAACCTTCGAGTTTTTGTCCGTTGATATTTGACGCCAACCACTTGGTGAGATACTGGCCCGAGGCGGTGGTGGAGTAGAAGGGGTGTGGCCGGGCTAAGGTTCCCGTTCTGCTGTTCATGTACAGCGGTAGGCAAGCCATGTTCAAATAGTGTTGGTATTTGGCCGTTTGGATGTCCAGCTCGCTCGGGTCCACCATACCGAACATGCGGGGTCTGGTGACCTGAGCTTGGTCCCTGGGCAGAACGGCAAGAGTTGGCCGGATGGTGGTGCCCCTTCTGGCCGATTCGATGGCGCCGACGGGTGACAACGAGGATCGTGACGGGGAGATCTTTGCCGGAGCGCTGGGCGGAGGTGAGGCAGAGGAAGTCGCGACAGCAGACGGGGAATCGTTCCCCATGATCCGGTCGATGGAGAAACTCAAGCCCCGTCGTGTCGTTGACGCGGACAGAGACGACGTGCCTCCACTACCAGCGCGTCCAGCCGACATCTTGGGCGGTCTGTTCACGGCCTGAGCTGCTCCAACGGCCACGGTAGGCCGCGGTAAGATGACGTCCACGACGCAGTCCATCACTTCAACCCCGGCTGATTCTTGACGATTTCCCTCGTTGGTCCCCGCAGATCGCCTCAACGGCAGTGTTGAGATGACTTACGACGATGATAGTGAAGACGATGATGATGATGGTTCTAGACCGATGGGGCACTGCGCCTACAGGGTTCAATGCACGCTCGAGACGACATCTCCAAGCGATATGGTAATCTGCAACATAGATAGAGAGCCGTGAAAATTAATGGAGCGAACGCAAATGACTCGACACTCTCTCCAAGCAGTAACTTTCTGATGGCGCAGTCGGCGTGCTCACGGCGGGGCCACTGTGTACGGAGCACTCACCACGCTACCTATGAATAAATCCTACAAATTTCACCGTGCAATCTTTACGAATCGACAATTCCGCAAGGTTTTTTTTCCGAAGAGGGAATGCTAAACAACAAACTAAAAGAACTGTCAGTTCATTGACTCCTAAAAATAATGACAGATAATGGTGAGGACACTTCAATTTGAATATTGTCATCTTTCACGGGGCGGCCACCGCGTGCTATGTACATACAAATTGATCCATTATGAAAGTGGCTTGAGGCCAGCGTTTTCGAAGCGATATTAATTTTGTTTTGCGGTTCCTGATCAACACGAATTGATTTCAGATACAACAGTCATTCGAAGTGTAAATGAAGGAACGTTCCGATCATTATACATGTTTTAGTGTTGGCAGTATAGGCTACATTTTTTAATTATCTCGTTCGCTAGCCAACAAAAAAACACGAATCAAAAGCCAAATATTTGAAGCTAAAATTTACAAAATGGAAATAAATAAATCAAATATCCGCTTTGTCTAAAAAATAATAGTGCAACGTACATCCATAATATTTCAATTAAATTAACAATTTGACGCTTGAATCGGAAGAGGACGCACATTGTGATATACATGAATGTGATTACTTTTCAAATGGCATTTTGTAGCATGTTTGAAGCACGAATAAACTAAACTTTGCTCGCAAATGGACAAAAGCAAGAAATTTAAAAAGCAGATATTCGAATCGACGGATTGTTCTTCAAATTTTGAGGGGAAAGTACTGAAAGTGTTTTCTTATAATCCAACTGAGAGAAGAAAACACAACCTCAGATTTTGGAGAGTTAAAACACAAGTTAAAAATGTTATATAAGTGCGTTAAAGTTGACACGATGGCAAACGCCACAATTTGGGGGTGGGGGAAGTCAGAATTAAATGTCGACCATTAAGAATCCAAAATTTTGTTTGAAAATCATCAACCGTTGTCTCTTACAACTTAAGGCCTACACAATTATTTATACCAGTTTGTTCATTTTCGGGAAAATATTGAATGTGGGAAAGTTAACAGAAAGATAACTCGCCGCTGATCAAAAATCAAAATTCTCTCCTCAACGCAGAGATCCCGGGTTTTTTTTCAGTAAGTAATAGCAAAATCAAATTGAACTGTTAAACCAATGATAACAATTATGAAGATATACAGTTTCATATTCTTGACGGAACGCCATCTTTGAATAAAATCAGACAACAAATGTACGCTTCGTTTCAAAAGCGCATCGAAGTTCAAAAGCCTCTTTTGGTACTAGAAGAGCTGAACAAACATGACCAATTCATTTTGAAAATACACGATAACGTTCCGCATTAAAATCTAACTTACATTAACCACGAATGAAGTGCAGGAACCGAATAACTGACCAACAACGATGATGTCCACCTCACCACCTTCGCAGAGAGAAGCTTTATGAGTTTTGTAATCCACAAAATGCTGACAGAATACACAACAGCCCAGCTCAGGAGACAGTCATTTTGCCATGGGGACCTAGACAAGTGTTACGAAGAGACTGATGCGGATGCACCTTTAGTAGTGTGGTGGGGCGAAAGGCTCGCCGAGTCCCCCCGTTGCCTGGCTGTCAATCACCCACCGCAGATGACCAGGGCAGACAAACGCACAATGATAAATATTATTCTCCGCGTACTTTGCTCGCACGCCCCTGCTACATCATAACACGCGGGCTAATCCGCTGTCAGCCAATCACGGACAACCTTTACATCACCGTTGCCATTATTTTTCGCGTCATTTTTTTTTTCATCTCCTGGTTTTTTTTTCTTGGTTTTCTCTGAGCTCTCGCGGTTTGACTGCGTGTGCGCGTGGTGAGAGCATCCTGGTAACAGTTTGGCACTTTTGACATACTCGAATATACAACAGTCGAACAATCATTTTACACAATAAAAGATTGAACTATAAAAATGAACGAGAAAATGAAAAATTATTGTGCTTGCGTCTTGGGTAGCCTATCAAGACAAGATTAGCCTGCAGTATATACAATCTCATTTGTGGAGAACAGTTCTAATAATATCATTACTGAAGTATCTGTTTATCTCAGTATATAATTAACCAAGAAATAGGATTTTTTCAAACATTCTTAACTGATGATACACTTAAACATTAACCATAATATTTTGCTCTATTCTAGTAACACACGAAAGAGGACCGAACGTTTTTACCTTTTTTTTTTAATTGGTAGCTTTATGTCTTAATTTCCATTACTATTTTGTGTTATTTTTTTCCAATTCAAAAAGAGGATACGAGACCGAAATCCAAAATTTGACATTACGATAAAAAATAGATAATCATGCTCAGGGGTATAGTACTAGACTGGGACATTGAGTGCAGACAAAAACATGCAAAACAAAATCAGGCTAATTTTACTCACTCTTTAGCCGACAAAATTCTCCAATTTTTTTCATGAGGCAAAGACAAGGTCCTCAGTATTTCACCAGCCAAGTTTGAGGTCTCAATTCAAATTTTCAAAGGAGACTTTTCTTCAACATTTTGCACCAGAGAGTAAAGCCAAGTGAGTTCAATTTGAAGCGTAAGACTTAGACTGGTACATATCAAACTTTCTGAAAAGATTGACCCTTTTGTAGTCTGGTGGCATGACTATGGAGAGAATGTGTAGAAATAGAAACTAGGTACCGCTATTTCTTTTGACACAGTTGATTGATGCAGTGTTGGACTGGTTATTTCACGTGCCAGTCTAATTTCTTGTTAGCCCTATTGCATGTTTTACTATCTGGCGTTTTGTGACTGTCATACACAGTATCGAGAGTCCCACATTTTCGGACTGCAGGGGTAGTACATGTGCTTCTGGACTATAAGTTATACCAACCGGTGTTTATAAGTTCATATTTCTGTTATTTTTATTCCAAATCTTCCTAACTTTTTAGGGGAGGATGGGGTAGTGGGATTGGAACTGCTCTGTGTTCCTTTTATTTGCCAAAAATACATGTCAATGTTTTGAACTCTTACTTTCATTGTCAGAAAGATAAAACACAATCCGTCTCGATCACCAAATTGACAAAAAAGGACGAAACCCTGCCATACCAAAACCACAAAATGTACTGTCTGGGGTGCGTGCTGCATATAATGTCAATTCCATAATATTCTGTACATGATGGATGAGAAGATATATGAGCACCTGCAAAATAAGGCCACTTCATACTTTACCGATGAATTCGGCATCTGCAGTTTGGCCAATTTTGACCACCGATCCCGCTAGAACCGTATACAAGGTTTTAAACAGGATCAAGAAGGGATTGTAAAGGGTTAAGATCATTTGCAACTACGGACGACACTGTCGTCCGTTCCTGGTACACACAAAGACTGCATGACCAATATAGGTTCAGCAATTAGAACACAGTAAAAATCTGGATAATACATCATTGCGTAACATAACGACCTGTCACTGTTCATATTATGACAAGAGAAAAATGACGATTTATGGGAATCGAGTAAGTGTAGGGTGAGGAAAAAGGTGTGAAAATGGGATGCAAGGTCTGAAAGATGCATTTCTTTCTACCCTGATAATGTCTATCTCTGAGATTAAAAACAAATTGATTTCCGGACATAAGTCCGGAAAATCTCCTGCTCGTAAATGCCGGAATATCACTCACGGCTGCCCGATGAAAATAAACTTTATACCAAACACACTGACGGTTACCATATTGTATTCCTTTATCATGTAGCCTTAATTTGCAGGAGACTCATGAGATGTTAACATTAGATCAGGAGAGGAACGTGGATAACTAAAAGAGGATGCCTCACCTTTGATTATAGTTTAATGCAATGGTCAATGGTCTGGGCCGGTCGGTAAGGAACGATGTTTTTGACGTGGCACTTGGAAGAAGTTGTTTTCCACCTAAACCCCTCCCTGATCTCCTGATAACTGAACAATCGTTGACAGGAGCATTAGATCTTTTTAAGTAAAATCCAAATGCCAGAATGCCACCCAGTTATCCTGGGGTTGTGGCTTTTTCTTCGTCTGCCTCTTCTTCTTTTTGTATAAAGGACCACTAGAGGCATCGGCTGGCTATCTTGCGAGGTGTGTATACAGTCGCTATGAAAAGGCCAACAAGGCAGCCCAATTAGGGCTGCTAGCGAGCAGGCACGCCACACAACGGCCGGCTAACACGGGAACAATCGGGTGGACAATAGGGGCACAATTTGGACCGCTTGTCGTAAATTGCTGGGGTGGAGTCGCTCCCCTGATCTTGTTTGCATAGACGCGTCATTGCATGTCAAAACCGGAGGGGCCTCAATAGGCAACACGGCACAGGGTGCATGGATGCTTGCGGGTTTGGAGGAGGGAGAGTGCTGAAAGGACAGCAATGCAACGTTAAACAATCGGTCCGGGATAGAGATGCGGCTTGTATCTCACTTTCGCAGAAAGCTCAAAGGAGAGTGTCATAAACTTCCCCCTCTTCAAAAAAAAGAAATGCCCAGTCGATGATGGCTCTGACTGGCAGCTGTCAAAGTGGTGTTGACTCTCCTTGTTTTTGGCGGGACGCACGAGATACCAAAGGTCGCACTTCAAGTTCTTCACCTGAACGCTTTCGCCTGGAACACGGAGCAAGGAATGTCCCCTATCATAATCCCACCACGCAGAACCATGTTTCTTCTATAGAATGCAAAAGATATGTTAAACATCTCCTTTTTTTTCGTGGGCTTTCAGGCCTCGGGCCAAGCCCAGCTAAAACTCAAATGACCACAGCAAGTTAAGTCCGTCAAAAACCCATAATAGTGTACATGCGCAATTATGTCATTTGCAGCAACACCTCATTAGTGTCCCTTAACAGGATCCCTTTTTTTCTTTTTTTTTCTTTTCTTTCTTCTTTTTTCTTTCTTCAATATCACGCACAGGTGGGCCAGGCCTCCACCATGGCTGCAGGTCTGATTCAGAAATATGGACTAGCATACAAGCACGCCCCGGCGCGGGCCTTCTCTATCCTCGCGTTGTTGAGAAAGTTAGGGGAGCATCGTGTTGTTATCCAGGCAGACTTTGGTTGGTTATCTGAGAGGGCCTTTCGGTTGTATTAGTCTGGTTTCCAGACCAAACGATCCTGACTAATCAGACAAATCGTAGGTCAGGTACGTAAGCGCCACCCCGCGCGTGACCAAACCGGGCAGGATCTTGCCCATTTCCGGAAATGTCCGAAATAAATTTCGTTGACACTCGGATATGTTCGCGATAGCTCGGGTGTTTCCGGGTATACAATGGTTTTTACTCACCAACAAAATATCTGTCATGCTTGGTATCGGTTGTGAACATTTTGAGTTCATAAATTCATGGCCTGCATTTCAAAATGACAATACCAGGCGTATTACCCAGTCTTGTACTAATGTAGACTTTGTGCCTCAAGTATACACTCGTATATATACGAGGGGTGGGCTTTGCTGCGTCATGTTCTAGTTTTGAATGGGGTCTACCCGATGTTCCCCAATACCAAAATTCCCAAATACCTATGTTCCCCCAAAATCCTCAGGGTTAGGGTTAGATGGTTAGGGTTTAGGGTTGGGGAACAAAACATTGGTATTTGGGAACAGAGGTATTGGGGAACATTATAGGTATGCACCCGTTTTAAATGTGCCGGTTTAATACCTGACACTGATCTCTATAAAAAAAAAACAACAACAACAACAACAATCTGGATAGCCCATCGGCTGTCAGAAGTAAAGTCACCGTCCACCATTATTATCACTCCTACAACAATACAATTCTAAACAAATCTATCCCAATTTAACCGCAATCTTTATTTTTCAATTAAAGGTATTCATTTTTTTAAAATAGTAAACATTATTCTGTGACTTAAATATTTTTTAGTTAAATTCTGTTAAGATAAAAAAAATAATATTTTTTTAACTTTTATTATAAATGTACAATGGGAGTGGTTATACTGGTTCCCGTACCATTATTCGATTTGGGAGAATCGGAACCAGCGCGTGGCTTCAAATGTGTCTGCAGCGTGCAATGGCCATTGAGCTATCGGGAGACGCTGGGATCGCCTGGTCAGGGAACCAGACTATCGGTTTATTTTCTCCGAAAGTATCGGACGCACGGGGCTCTCATTCGGGTTAGAGACCCCGGTATATGTCCCCAAGGGACTGTCCTCTCCACGAGGCATAAAGGAAGGCGGATCGGCTAATGCGGGGGAATTGTCCATATTAAAGTGGGTTTTTCTTTTCAGATAAACTGGAGACGGGCCTGGGTGTATGAGGGCATGACCGCGTTACAGTTTTCCTCCCGGAGGCTTGCGAAATTGCGGAGTAAATAAAACGATGGGTTTGAAAGGACGTTAGGGATGGTCAACCCGGGGCTTGGGTGTTGTGTCAACCAGCCCTTTCTGTCGGACCAGTATTTGTTATTTGTTTTTCGATGAAATAACGCCATACAATATTTCAAATGGCATTTATTAAGTTTATTGTTCTGTGTTGTCTTGGTTAGTTAGCACAATGCACCAGTCCCCACTTGAAAACATCCTGGACTTAAGTATCTCAGCAATGAATGGTATAACGACCCATACAAGAGTAGAACGCCCTTATAACGAGCATGATGATGTCTGTCATAGTTGTCGTTGGTTCTTATAGTGATTATGCACGGTAGCCAAAGTGATGGTTCGTTACTGTGCCAACCTTCAAGAAGGCTCTCAAAACCCATTTTTTCCCCACACCATAGCTGGTCGTACGCCCTTGTTGTTTTTCTGTTGTTCTTTCTGTAGTTCTTCTTTCTTTGTTTCAGCGCCTTGTATCCTTTGGCAATTTGGCGCTCTATAAATCCAGTTATTATTAGTATTATTATTAAAGCAAATTTCTTCGTTATAGTGGAGTTCGTTATAACGGAGTTTTATACTTGTAGGCCTACTCCGTTTCTAATAATGACTGAACAGAAAAGAAAGTTGTTTTGACAACCAAAACATAAGACAGGTTGTAAATTAACATTTCCGCATCACAAACCTCTACTCCTTGCTGTAACCCCCCCCCCCCCCCCAAAAAAAAAAATTACCCACCTTTCTCTAAAAAGGGGGGGGGGGGAGTATATTGATCAACTCTTGCCCAGAAATTAGTCAAACTGTGAACTGTCTATCACTTTCTGTAATTGTTTCCCCCAAAAAATTTGAATTTCTTTTACCCGACTATTACAAACAATGGTACAAGAAACGTTCATAACGTGAATACATAGAATGTCATTGCCTCACATTTACCATCATTGCTCATTGTGAATGTGTAGCTTCATGGTATTAAATCTTTGACACTTATAAGTTATGGCATGTACAAACTTGACGATCGCATGCAGTTTGAATACCGAATGATCAAATTGTATTCCTTAAAATTGTGGCATTTTGCATCAGGGGGAATGTTAAGAACCAATTCCAGGTAGACTGATTTCTATTTGACTTTTATAAAAGTTATAATATAATTTTAAAATAGTTACTTATTTTTTGTTGAAGTATTTGACAATACCTACCAATTAAAAACAGAACGTTTCCGATGTGAGTTTTCGGCTGCGTGATTTCACTTTGTATAATACAAATTCCAAAATAGCTATCGCCAAAAGGAGATATCGACGAAAACAGTTACTTGAATGATAAATGCTGAAAACTTGATGAAAAATACCCAAGATATATTTAAACTTTCCCAACGAATTTTTTTTTTGGAACATTCATTTCCAACGTAGAAAAAAACCGCTTAATTAAAATCTGTGACCGTTTTAATTTCGTATTCCCAACGACGGCGAATCTGCGGTCTCTCTATATTAATCTGATTCTGAGTCCCTGTCTTTTGAGAGTCAATTTCGACATTTTATTTCTCGTTATTTGGGAATTTCCATAATCCACCTAAGCCAGGTCCATGGCGTGGATATCATTAGGTATGCAACAGAGACTCGGCAGAGTTGATCAGTCATCAGCGGGGGGTTATAACGACATTGACGGCATGAGCAGGGAGAATCACGCCGGTCTTTGGCCCGTCAAGAACTTGGACTGTGTACTCCAGGCCCGAGCCGCGCGTGGAACGTGCAGGCTAAGCGAAGGAACACCGCGGACACCGGAGCTTAACCAGTCCAGCTCTAATCCGCACCGGAGTCCCCGCGGCCCCGGCTCCCTAACCGACCCGGCCCGAGCTCTTCCACCGCGCCGTGGATTCCCAAGCGGTTCCGCGGGAGTTGGGGCGAAAGGGAGAGAGAGACGCACTAATCCCCGGCAAAGGAGGCCTCTCGCTCGCCGACAACATCTTATAAAACCTTAATTTGTCCCCACCTCCATCCAAATGTCGTTAGCTGACAAAGACCGGGTTGATTTGAAAGTAAAATCAAATTACGGAGATATACGGGCGGGATGCATGACAAAAACCAACCGGGGCAGTCCGAGGGTTAGGGAGAAATCCACTCCTTTATGTTTCACCATCCGAGTTGAAATGGAAGGCTATCTTGTTGATTATTGGGAATAGAATGCCTTTATGTCGCCCCCTATCCGCCGAGGTTGCCGGTTTTATATCTTGTCAGTGAACGGATAAAAGGGAATTACGGCATGAGCCTCCATACTAGATTGAGTTGCAATTTTGAAGGAAGAGCTCGGCTTTATATTTAGCCCCCCCCCCCCCTTTCCAAGGGGAACAAAACTCATGTTGCTTCACTTTTAGGCTGGGGATGCGATTTGCAAAATGATATGCATGCCCCGGGGTGAAAGCGGAAGTACAATTTCACATCAACAAAACCCAAGATAACTGAATTCATCAATGACAGTTTCAACAGTCCGACATGAGAAAAAAAAGAGTTGGACAGGCAGGATGCAGCAAGCGGCGTTGAAACAGACGAAGCTAAAAAAAAAAAGGAGACAATTACCGGGAGTGTTTGGGCCTACTTCTTTGGATGGTCACCATTGCAGTTTGGCAAATTAGTCATGCAGCTGTACGAGGTGTTTTGATAATGCTATAAGTCGAGTAATGCTATCGTACGAAACACGAGATAATCGAATTTTTCCATTACATCTCACCACCCTACAAAATAACTTGACAAATACCAACAGATATTGCAACCACTTTGCTCAAGCTGAGATCAACTCAATCGATCCTAACATTATTGTCCGAAGTTCAGACGTAGAGTCCGAAATAACCACAAAACCATAAAGTCAATTTCAAAATTGTTTGATTGTGCAGATACTCCTTATCTTTGGCCTAAACCCCTGTGAGTGTCATTTAATTTTAGTCACGCAACACTACACAATTGTCAACATTTTTGGACACTGTGACCAAGTTTCTTGCCTTAAACAATTTCAGTGCTGTGTTATATAAGTTGTGTAGAATTCTGCATGCTTAGGTTTATGATTAGGTTTGGGATTGAAATCATTCGTCATTAAGCATTAAACTGAGGTCTTGCCATGATGACTGATAGCCAGCCAAATGATTCCAATCCCAACTGCAGCCCTTTTCACAACATGAAGGATATTACACAGCTGACATAACACGGCACCGGAATTCATTAAGGCAAGGAACTTGGTCACAGTGTCCAAACTGTTGTTGTGAGCAATTGACCATTGTGCAGTGATGCGTAACCGAAATTAAATGAAACTCATAGGGGTTGAGGCCAATGATAAGAAGTATCTGCAAAATCAACACAATTTCAAAATTGACTTCATGGTTTGTAGTTATTTCAAAACAAGTCAGGCGGACACTTTCTTGTGACATACTGTGGATTGCACCACATTTTAGTTAGCAGCCTGTGCATTTAAACGAAACAATTTTGTGAACTCATTAGGAACGACCATG